CAATACAGGAAGAGGCCGAACCCCCAAACATACCAGCGATACAAAGATGCGAGAAACAACTACACGGCAGTGAGGAGAGAGGCAGAAAGAAATTTTGAAAAAGGGATTGCGGACAAATGTAAAACAGAACCAGGTCTATTCTATAAATTCATAAACAACAAATTGCAGGTAAAGGATAATATTCAGAGGTTGAAAATGGGAAATAGATTCACGGAAGATGAAAAGGAAATGTGTGAAACACTAAACGAAAAGTTCCAAAGTGTGTTTGTACAAAATGAAATCTTTAGGGAACCAAATACAATAAGAATTCCAGAGAACAACATAGAACACATAGAGGTGTCTAGAGACGAAGTGGAAAAAATGCTCAAGGAGCTCGGTAAGAACAAAGCAGCTGGCCCAGATGGCGTTTCACCATGGGTTCTGAGAGAATGTGCATCTGAGCTCAGCATTCCACTTCACCTGATCTTTCAGGCATCCCTGTGTACAGGAATCGTAGCAGACGGGTGGAAACAGGCTAACATAGTTCCAATCTACAAAAGTGGCAGCAGGGAAGACCCCCTCAATTATAGACCTGTATCATTAACAAGTGTAATAGTGAAAGTATTGGAAAAACTAATCAAAACTAAATGGGTAGAACACCTAGAGAGAAATGATATAATATCAGACAGACAGTATGGTTTTCGATCTGGAAGATCCTGTGTATCGAATTTACTCAGTTTCTATGATCGAGCCACAGAGATATTACAGGAAAGAGATGGTTGGGTTGACTGCATCTATCTGGACCTAAAAAAGGCTTTCGACAGAGTTCCACATAAGAGGTTGTTCTGGAAACTGGAAAATATTGGAGGGGTGACAGGTAAGCTTCTATCATGGATGAAAAATTTTCTGACTGATAGAAAAATGAGGGCAGTAATCAGAGGCAATGTATCAGAATGGAGAAATGTCACAAGTGGAGTACCACAGGGTTCAGTTCTTGCACCAGTGATGTTTATTGTGTACATAAATGATCTACCAGTTGGTATACAGAATTATATGAACATGTTTGCTGATGATGCTAAGATAATAGGAAGGATAAGAAATTTAGATGACTGTCATGCCCTTCAAAAAGACCTGGACAAAATAAGTATATGGAGCACCACTTGGCAAATGGAATTTAATGTTAATAAATGTCATGTTATGGAATGTGGAATAGGAGAACATAGACCCCACACAACCTATATATTATGTGAGAAATCTTTAAAGAATTCTGATAAAGAAAGAGATCTAGGAGTGGTTCTAGATAGAAAACTATCACCTGAGGACCACATAAAGAATATTGTGCAAGGAGCCTATGCTATGCTTTCTAACTTCAGAATTGCATTTAAATACATGGATGGCGATATACTAAAGAAATTGTTCATGACTTTTGTTAGGCCAAAGCTAGAATATGCAGCTGTTGTGTGGTGCCCATATCTTAAGAAGCACATCAACAAACTGGAAAAGGTGCAAAGACATGCTACTAAGTGGCTCCCAGAACTGAAGGGCAAGAGCTACGAGGAGAGGTTAGAAGCATTAAATATGCCAAAACTAGAAGACAGAAGAAAAAGAGGTGATATGATCACTACATACAAAATAGTAACAGGAATTGACAAAATCGACAGGGAAGACTTCCTGAGACCTGGAACTTCAAGAACAAGAGGTCATAGATTTAAACTAGCTAAACACAGATGCCGAAGAAATATAAGAAAATTCACCTTCGCAAATAGAGTGGTAGACGGTTGGAACAAGTTAAGTGAGAAGGTGGTGGAGGCCAAGACCGTCAGTAGTTTCAAAGCGTTATATGACAAAGAGTGCTGGGAAGACGGGACACACGAGCGTAGCTCTCATCCTGTAACTACACTTAGGTAATTACACTTAGGTAATTACACACACACACACACACACACACACACACACACACACACACACACACACACACACACACACACACACACACACACACACACACACACACACACACACACACACACACACACACACACACACACACACACACACACACACACACACACACACACACACACACACACACACACACACACACACACACACACACACACACACACACACACACACACACACACACACACACACACACACACACACACACACACACACACACACACACACACACACACACACACACACACACACACACACACACACACACACACACACACACACACACACACACACACACACACACACACACACACACACACACACACACACACACACACACACACACACACACACACACACACACACACACACACACACACACACACACACACACACACACACACACACACACACACACACACACACACACACACACACACACACACAAAAATATATATAATTTTTAAATCATTTAGCAAGTTATATAAAGTTTTCTACAGTGATGGTGATGAAAGGTATAGACTAATTTGTTTTAGATTCTGTAGCTTCAGTGGCAACTAAATCTACATAACTGCTCCATGAAAGAAAAGAAACCAGTACAGTGTATGGAATGCTCTTCCATATGAGCATTGAATGAGAAATAAGATTTTCTGATCTAAGAGCTCACTTTTTGATGATACCCCGTGCTGATTCTTGACTCAAACTTTGAATTTCAACACTAAATTGCTACCTCAAACACTGGCATTTAATCCTACCTCTATTATTTAATTAAATGTGATTTGTACTGCTGGGCACACTGTTCTTGCGGCCCGGTCTTGTGACTATTCTGTTAATTTTTTTTGTTTTTTTCAAGGACAGTACTGCATGGGCCCTAAGCCTCTGGCTGGCCCACTAATAGATGATACTGCTATCCTGAACCCACAACCCAGATGATCGGGTATACAGTAGTTTGGAGGTGTTTATAGACTCCAGAATCTAGTTCTAGACTGACTTACTCCCCCTCCCCTCTCCATACAACGCCTTCCTCGTATCTTGCATTTAGTAATGCCACTGAAGCTTGACATTATGGGTGGTAAGCACTCTTGGTTAACTCATGGCAAGACTTGACACTACGAAGTCTCTACTCCCTCGGTAGGACAGCCCTACTATAGTCTTATAAACTTTCAGAAACCACCCATTAGCTTTACAAGTAGGCAAACTGTAACCAACAGGTTGTACAGGTCTGCAGAGAAACCGGAGACTGACCTGCAGAAGATTAGTTACCAGTTATACAGTAATTACATTAAACTGGCCTGGTTAAATACTTGCTTGTGGTTCTGGAGAGAGGGGAAAGTGTGCGAGCGTTCCACACGACCTATTCTGTGGGTACCCAGATCATCCTTAGGATTGTGTACTTGCCTAGTTGTGCTTGCGGAGGTTGAGCTTTGGCTCTTTGGTCACGCCTCTCGACTGTCAATGGACTGGTGGTCAGATTCTTGAGCCTATTGGCTCTATCATATCTACATTACAAACTCCATACAGAGTCTGCCTCCTCCACATCACTGCCTAATGCATTCCATCCGTTAACTAGCGACACCGAAAAATCTTTAAAATGTGTCTCTCGCCCAACCATTTGGACTGGACGGTAGAGCGATGGTCTCGCTTCATGCAGGTCAGCGTTCAATCTCTGACCGTCAGAGTGGTTGGGCACCATTCCATCCCCCCGTCCCATCCCAAATCCTTATCCAGGCCCCCTCCCAGTGCTATTATAGATGTAATAGCTTTGTGCTTTTCCCTGACAACTTTTCCCTGATAATTCCCTCATTTGGGCACTGTGTCCACCTGTCCCCTTGTTCTTGTTCCACCCATGCTAAATACCTTTGTCCACCATCAATTTCTTAGTGAATTTTTAAGATCATGTCTGTCATCCAGGGATGTGTCATTTAGTTCCTGTAGCTTTTCCTCGTAAGTCATACCTTTGTTCTAGTACTAGTCTGTTCCTTGTGGTTGTCTTGGGCCGGATGTCTAGTCTGCAAGCACTGTATGCAGACAATCTTGTGTGAATATGCAGCGAACAGCTGTAGGATGTTATCGGTACAGAGATCCAAATCTTATTCGGAATAAGGCTGCTCATGAAGCTAAATATTCTTTAAGTAAATGTTATTCTTCTGAGACTGAGATATAAAATGGTTGGCGAGTGTGATGCCTTTGATATATATTGACATCATTCCTTTTGAAGATCCAAAGAGTGCTGTATTCTTTTCCCAGCTTACCTTTGATAATTACTTTACCCGTCTTAATTCCTCCACCAGAAGGGGAAATTCAGGTATGCAAGTCAGGATTATCAAGAGGATGGGGGGGGGGCACTTTCTCACCGCTGATTTTCTGTCCCTGTTGAGGCAACTTGAATCCTCTATTCCTGATTATGTGTATAGTAAACAGTAAGTTGTTAAGACAGATTTAGTGGGTAGGCCATTCCATGTGTTTAAACCCTATGGGGTGAAGTCTCTTGCTTCAATCAGTTGCCCCCTTTTATGCATCACATTGGACCTTTAATTCCGTAAAATACTGAAGTTGGAGGACAAGATCAGACCTGTTCGTAAACGAGTGCCACACAACTCGACTAATTTGTAGATGTAAACGCATTAAAGAAATTTTTGTATAAGCTCTTCCATTCTTTGATAGAGAAGTTCAGATGGATACACCAGTAAATGACATCTATAGGAATAGTTTGAATAACCACTAAAGAGTTCTTTCATTTCATTGTCCTAATAGTTGACAAATGCCACAACCAGGTTTTAAAAGTAATCCACGTAAAACTCTAGCCTGTAGAATGGGTATTGGTGTACATATAGTGGTTCACATATAACCCCTCCCCTCTGCATTGTTCCAATGTCATTGACATTGACGTCACAAGCCATTAAGAGTTTTCCTTAACTGAAGAGTTAAGGATTTATTCATTATCCCAATAAAAAAAAAAGTTTCCATAACGACACTTCAGGTCCCTAGTGGCAAGTCTCTTAATGTTGACTTCCAACATTAAGAGACTTCCTGGCTAAGGTATTCAAGAAGATTATGAGCTAGGTTAAATTTTATTTTACAACTCCACCATTCAGGAAACAAGGCCTTTTCTGGCAAAATATATGTATCAAAGGCTAGTCTCACAGATGACAGGTAATGTTGTGCCACTTTGTGCTGTTGTTATAGATGTTCTTCAGAACCCGAGTCCTTGGTGCCTTCCCTGTTGTCTGGCTGTGGTTGCCCAAGCCTGGGGACGATAGGGGGTCAAGTTATCAGAACTGTTATATTCCTTAAGATAAGATAAGAGGTCTTAAATCTTGTGATAAGTTAATCTAAACTTATACAGACCTCTTTACAGCTGTTAAAGCCCTCAGAGTAACCTGCACTTAAAAATCTACCAAACACCCCATATGTTATGACAATCTAAACTGTATGAAAAATGAATAAGGTAAAACGAGCCATACGGACCCTCCAGTGTGGGATCAGTTGGCGTAGGACAAAGTGTACTCGGATGACTACCTCCAGGTCATTGTGCCTCGCTCGTTGCCGCTTATCCAGATGAGCTGGATCCCACCTAAAAATATTAGGTAGTTTTAGAAAAATTCTTTGCCGTTTAGTAAATCTTAGTCCAGCAGGATTACCATATTTAATGTTTAATGCACATGCATTTCAATAATTCATAACCATGTTAAACATTAATAAAGTAAACTCACTTCTGGCGATAACACTCTTTATGAAGTCGTCCTTATCCTTGTCTTGGATACTAACTAGCTGGAAGCCTCTGCCAAGACCAGCAGTAAGAGTTGGCTTTATCCCAGCTGCTATAGGTGTTAGCATTCACGTACCATGAGAAATGGCAATTCTTACCAGCCCCCATTTCATGTGTGTGAAACAGTTGAAAATTAAATTTAGATTAATTTACTAAAAGGGGACAATAAGAGCCATGTTTATTCCAACCTACATCTTTGGTACTTCAAGCGCATTACTGGTTTGATCTAAGGGATTTAGAGTAATTAAATCAAACTAGAACATTTACAATTTTACCATAGTAATAGTTTTACTTTACTTTTCATAGTAACAACATTTTACCATGTTGTTACTAAGGGGCCTAACAGTTGAATGGACAGTGCTTTGGATTCGTAGTCCTGAGGTTCCGGGTTCGATCCCCGGTGGAGGCGGAAACAAATGGGCAGAGTTTCTTTCATCCTGATGCTTCTGTTCACTTAGCAGTAAATAGGTACCTGGGCGTTAGACAGCTGCTACAGGCTGCTTCTTGGGGGTTTTGTAACAAAAAAGGAGGCCTGGCCAAGGACCGGGCCGTGGGGACGCTAAGCCTCGAAATCAAGATAATCTCAAGAAGATGTGTTACATTACCACGTATTCCACAGGAAGGAGTGTTGAGTTTGTCGTGACCTTGAAGGCTGGGAAACTTATGTTAGAGCTGAGGAGCGAATGGAAGCTGGGAGAGCTTTAATGCAGGAAGGGATTGAAAGGACAAGGGTGCCGCTTGAAGAGTGAACCGTTAGACGTAACATGGAACTGGAAAGAAACTAGTTTGAAAGTGGTTAGTGTCTTTGAAGAATTGAAGAGGCTTTCCCTGAAGGAGGATTTTGCGAAGGGAAAGGAGAGACGAAAACTGGTGCATACAACTAGTTTTCCTTAAGACACCAGGGAGCCATCTGGGGCTCACGTAGTGGTCCCCGGAAACCCCACAGAAGTATTTTAAGCAGAAGCATTTTGGAATCTGAAAAGTAATACCAATTTAAGACTAAAGAGTGAATTTAGACTTAATCCTGCTGCAAGAACATGGTTAATAAGGCAAGCCAAGGTAAAAATTATATTGAATTTTACCATCCTTGTAACAGTTACTTGAAAAACATTAAGCAGGATATTCTTTTCAAAGTTAAATTAGTAATTATCTTAAGTTACTACCAAGATACTCTAAAACCATTTGTTAAGCCTCTAGGCTAGGGTTGTAGACGACCTTGAAGCTGAAACTAGAAAACTAAAGGAGGGGGGGGGGGTAAGCCATGCATAAAAACCTATACAAGAAGCATTAAATGAAGCATTACAACCTTTGTAGCAACAGTGACTGGTAAAAAGTCAGTTTACTTTAGTGTTAAAGTAAAAGCTTATAAACTGTCTACATTTAACATAAATGTTAACATTGTCCTCTTTAAGTAACCAAGTTATACTCAAGGCCCGTTTGTCAAACTTATGACTGTCTTGTATAGAACTCCGGGGCACTGACAATTGCACCACTACGAGCCGATAGTTAGGTTAATTATCGACCAGGTGCAATGGTCATGATGTATTATTTGATTAACTTTTTAATATTAGAGAACTTCACACAACTACACTGAAATCAAATTATATAAATCTACCAAAATGGGGGGGGGGGGGGGGGGGCCCCCCCCACAGGGAAGAGTGAGAAAAAAAACTGATAAAAAGACTAACACCATGGATGGACATCCTAAAAATTAACATATCCTAGTTTGTAGATAATTTCACAAGCTACACATTACTAGAATTACATCTATAGCCTGCTGAATTTACATGTAGTCATGTTATAAAAACTAGGTTTTAAATTTAGTTTTGACATTTTAAAACCTAGTACAATAACTCCATTGTATACTTACAGAAATTGGTAATATATATATCCTAATTTTTTAAAATAAATTGAAGGCCAGACGTTAAGGGCTAGCTCTTCGAATGATGCAAGTGGGGCAGAGGAGCGTCACAGACCAGTTGGGTCTACTATAGTGCCACACACAGCATTATGCTCACTTAACCCAACCTTCGATTTGTCTAGGCAAATCTGAAATTGTAGATTTTCCCCATACACTTCACTAGTTCTAGTACAGGGAACCAGGGAAGAGGGAGGGGGGGATCCTCCACATAAAGCTGAACTTCAAGAGAGGAACCTGGAACTGGATACCAAAAGTGAGGTAAAACACACTGGAGTATATTTGTTGTTTGTTTTAGATTCTGCTATTTGGAACAAACAGTTCCAAGTAGCACGGGGTATGGTGAGCCCGTAGGTAGCGCGGTATCACTGCACGTCCTTACGTGCCACTGAACACGGAGTGTATTTGATTGATTGATAAAGATTAAGCCAGCCAAGAGGTGGCACGGGCATGAATAGCCCGTAAGAGTATTTGTTCTCATCGTCCCTTTTATAACCAGACCCGGCCGCTGATTGGTTGACATTCACCCTAAAACTCACCCCATTAGTTCAAATCAAATCAAATGTTTATTCAGGTAAAGTACATACATAAAAGGTGAGATACAAACATTGATGGATTTATAGATAGAGCTAGTACATACAAAGCCTTAAAACACTTACGCAAAGCGTTTCAGGTAGTTAACATTTTGCGAGTCTGAAGTGTCAATTATCAATGGCCAACAGCCACTCCTTCATTTCCCCAAATACGAACGAGTCTAATGAACAAACAATAATCCACAGCTTGAATGATTGATGTTGTTAATTTCAAAATTTAATTCACCTGCTGCTCCGCTTGGGGACCTCCAGTTAACGGAACGTGATTATTACCCTTTGGGTCACGGTAGTGCCGTCTCTCCTCTGCAACGGCTCGCTTTTCGGTGCCTTGTCGTTTGGGGGTCATAGGAAAGTTGATGTTATTTTTTGTTTCTGTTTTCTGGCTGGTTCCTCGTATGGAGAAATGGTGCCCGGCGCCGGCCTGGCCTATAGGTGCCAGGATTTTAAGGGCATTTGTGTGGATCCTTGGTGTTCCCTCAGGATGGGTGGGGAGGGGGTATTAGAATTAGAATTACCATAGAATTACCCAAATCGGCCCAAAACTACACAAATCGTCCTAGCATTATGTAAGTAATGAAGAAATATGGTATATTTACTTACTATAATGTTGGTGCTACACGTAGAACATGATCAAACCTATTTTTACTCTGAAATAATCTAATTTCATAACCAAATGAGACGTAAATATGTGAGAGGTGACGCCATAGGAAGTCGACGGTCCAAGCGACAATTGTGTGGAGCGACTTATCCAAGATATATGGTCGCCTGGAGAGTGTTTGCTGCCATAACAGCCTCCTGTACACAGTGATCCAGTCGTCATATTTCATGGCTCAAATTGTCGCAAATTTAATTGGTAATATTAACAAGTAGAATGTGTATTTATAATAATATTTTTCATAAACAGCCACAAAATATTTAATATTTATTAAAAAAAAGTGTCTGGAAGTTAAATCAATTCCACATGACAATAAATTTGTTATATAGATACTAGCGTTATTCGTTGGTATGCGTTCGCTATTTAAACTACTCTAGTCCTTTTCGTTCATAGAACACCGAACCCTACACGCTCTCTGATATATTGCTTAATTAACAAATATTCACAAATAAAGATTATATTTATATATGTTATCAGAAAGGCAGATATAAAATAGTTTGTGTTAATGCATCACAGAGATTATACTTTATTAGAGAGGAAAAATATTCATATTTTAAACAAGGCTTCTTGGCCGACGCTCTCCCTTTCGATGGGAACTATGACCTTTTGAAAATCAATGTTAATTGAATCTAGATATTGTAAAAAACGAAGTTTTTTATGTCATCAGAAAGACATATAAGCTGCATGTTAATACTTTGGTATAAATATAACTGAAGTGAAAGTGAAGATATATGCCTTTTTATAGTTACTTGATGGCTCGCTCAGGGAGTGTGAAGGCCTGCACACAAGCCAATCAATTTTATAATTAATGTACATATATGCAAAGTACCGTCAAAGGTTTTTATTTCAGAATAAAGACAGATGTAGACGATAATGTAAATACATTTCAAGGAAAACATATCTTAAATGAAAGCAAAGATATGGTCAAATAAATAGGCAATACCACACCATCGCCAGTGTCCGGACACATGAATATTCGCATTAGGTAGGTGAAAGGAAATGTACCCAACCATTTCCATTTACGCGACCAGTTTCCGTTCTTATGTTCTTACTTACATTTATTGAAATTTATCATCATCATTATTTACAGAAATAAATTAACATAAAAATGTAGTAATTTTAATACACAAAACAGAAGTAGATATGTATGTAAATTATGACGCAGGATAGGATCACTATTGCAGAACTATTCGCATACTTTGTGTCATTATATATAGTACTGGAATTTTAAAAAAATCGCGGAATTCAGAGATAACACCATCATTGGTGTCCAAGAAAAGTGTAAGTACTTCATTTATAATGATGTGCTGCCCAAAATCTTAGCGAAGTATCTAAAATTTGCTTACTGTAAGTAATTCATGCAAATGATTGTAAAGCCGTCGCCCAGTTGGGTGGGTGTAGAGCACATGACTGTTAAGCTGCCGCCCAGTTGGTTGGGTGTGGAGCACATGACTGTAAAGCTGCCGCCCAGTTGGGTGGGTGTGGAGCACATGACTGTTAAGCTGCCGCCCAGTTGGGTGGGTGTGGAGCACACGACTGTAAAGCTGCCACCCAGTTGGGTGGGTGTGAAGCACATGACTGTTAAGCTGCCGCCCAGTTGGGTGGGTGTGGAGCACATGACTGTTAAGCTGCCGCCCAGTTGGGTGGGTGTGGAGCACATGACTGTTAAGCTGCCGCCCAGTTGGGTGGGTGTGGAGCACATGACTGTAAAGCTGCCGCCCAGTTGGGTGAGTGTGGAGCACATGACTGTTAAGCTGCCGCCCAGTTGGGTGGGTGTGGAGCACATGACAGTAAAGCTGCCGCCCAGTTGGGTGGGTGTAGAGCAAGACTAGTAATTGGACGACTCACCATAGATGTAAAGTGCCTAGTATAGTGACTTGTGAGCCTCTTGTTGAATCACTTGTGATACAAAGATTATTGATGTGTGTATTTGTGTGGGTGATTGAATATGTATGTGAATGTATATGTATATATGCAATTGACGATCACGAAACAATAATCATTTGTATGCGGAAAATTCCATATTTCATTTTTTTGGATTTACCGCATATGTATATATATGTACATGTATGTATGATTATGTGTACATGTATATATAACATTAATAAGAGGAAATGAAGATGAAGAAATGATAAAAAGAATGGCAATAGTGGATAGTAGTAACACACTTAAGAATTATTCAGTAATAAACACAAACTCGTCCTTCACCTATGGTAAAGGAAAGTCAACTTTGAAGGATTCAATTTACATGAGATTAAGATTAGGATACAAATATATCTGGCAATACGGAGTTGATGTCAGTGAAAAAGATAAGGATTGTAAATTATGTAGTATGCCGCACGCCCACACCTTAGAACATTATGTATTAGAGTGTCAACTTATTGATAACTATAGAAATAAGGAAATAAGTAATGTACCACATCAAATTGTTTGTATGTGTGATAATGGTATGATAGACAGTATACTTAGGAGCTACAAAAATTTTGCCCCAAGAGTGTAACAATTAGATGCTGTACTTACTATATTAACCTGCAATGTTAAATGGGATTCTTGTAATGTTAATTGTCTATATGTACTTACTGAATTTGTGCGCCCCTTGAGGGACTTGCAGTAGAGGGGGTAGAAATAGCCTAAGTTACTCTATCCCTTTGAAATGTATTTTTTTCTTGTCTCAATAAACATACTTGAACTTGAACTGTAAATATTTGTGGCTTCCTGACCATAAAGTTACCGCCGCAGAGGGTAAGAGACCGGATGTACCCAGTATACAAGCCGCACTAGCTATTAGTTCATAAAAGCTGACAACTTACCCAGATCAACATTACTTCCTAATTATATATATATATATATGCAAATAATACAATTGAAATGTTTAAAACGTGATTATATATATGTATCATGTGGACAGTTTTTAATGTAATTTTTTCTCCTGATATTCGGGTTCTTTATTATGCTTCATCTTGAGGCAGAGCCCAATACCTTACGCCATATTGATGCTCTGTCCACAGATCATTCTCTCTCTCTCAAATCATATACATTGATTGTTTCCTACACCGCCCCACGGGTGCAGCTGCAGGTGCAGTTGCCTCTACCCATCAAACAGAACTATTTGCCTTGCTTGTTACACTAAAATGTGTACAAGTGTGTGTGTCTATGTATGTATTAACACGATGTACTGAACGGGGTGAGAATAGCTTGAGCTACCTCATCCCTTTGTGTATATTTTACCTCAATAAACTTATTTCAATTTCAATTTCAATTCAAGTCTCCAAACTTGATGCATTAATTGTGATTTTCTACCATCCTGCATTAATTGTAAGTGATTTCTATCATCCTTAATTGCGCGCAACTCTCTAAGACACAATTGTAACATGACCGTGTCCAAAGCTAGACAGAGAAAAACACAACATTATTAGTGATGGTAACATAATCCATTTCATGTGAATTCCATCTTCA